ACAAATCCTTATATAAAAAAAAAAAAAAAAAAAAAAAAAAAAAAAAAAAAAAAAAAAAAAAAGTTACAGCTGGTTCAAGTCTGTTTTTGTTGAGAATTGGGCATACCTGGACTGGTATGAAAAAGTAGCAGGTCAGGCTAAATCTGAGGAAAATGCTAAGTCTGACCAGATATAGAAAATGTGCTCAACCTGGAAGAATTCCAAAGTAGTTTTGATTTCAAAATATAAAATATTTCTGCAGTTGTTATCAAACCATACATTGAAATTTTTGGCATTAAATTAACTCAGTTTTTGTGTTAAATGCTAGTTTCCCATGTTCAGGTTTGGTCTGGTCACTAGGGCACCATACTGTGAATCAAAGGGTTCATGGTTTGTGTCCCATTGCCACAAAATCACTGCAGACTTTGGGGCTATAGGTGCATTGTAAGAGTGGCATTCAAATCTCAGTATTTGATTAGAGTAGCCCAAGAAGTGGCAGTGGGTGCTGTTGGTTAGGTGGTTTTTTCTAGTCTGTCATTTTAAAATTAAGGACAGCTAATGCAGATAACCCTTATATAACTTAGTACAAATATCTAAAACAAACAAGCCCATGCTAATGTTAAGAATAAACTTTTGTGCAATAAAATTGGTTAACATAGTAAATGTACAAGAATAAATAATACCAATTATATAATGAAGACTAACTTATTTATATTTTTTATAACAGGTACATTGTTTTTATATTTTAAGCATTTTTTCTCTTTCTTATAATCTTCTAGCTCTTATGTGGTTTTTAAGAGCTATAAAATAACCCCTTTTCCTATGTCTGTGATCAAATTCTGTTGAAGAAGTAAAAGAAACCCTGATTTGCTGTACATCAGTGATAAATAGCTATATGAAAATTTTTTTGTTTATATTTTGAAAGTAAGAAAATATTTTAGTAAATTAATTGATTGAGATATAATTAGATACAAAAAGAAACATCATAATAATAATAAAAAACATGCTGATTTCTATTTTTTATTTAGTTCTTATGGCTTATAAGTCAAAAGTTAAACTTATTTTTACCTTAAAGGTAGCAATAGATTTTACTGCATCCAATGGTGATCCACGAGATTCCAGATCTCTACATTTCATACATTCTACAGAGCCAAATCAGTACATGAAGGGAATTTTGTCTGTTGGTAATGTTATACAAGACTATGACAGGTAAAGATTATTTTACAACAACATAATTGTAAAGAACTTATCATAGTTAATTTCAAAAGTTCTTATTGGGATCATGATGTTAACACTTTTCTCTTTTGCTATTATCTGTCTCCTTCTGTCTGTGTGCTGCTTCCTGCCCATCTCACACTATTCATATCTTTATCACTTAATCGTCTCTCCGCCTTCTATATTCTCAATCTCAAAAGATTATTAACAAAACTTCCTACAATCGTCTGCTTTTAACTTATTATAACAAAAACTGAACAATAATAAAACATTAACTCACAAAAATAAATTAATCAGTAATATATAAATCACACAGTCTTTTATATCTTGACAAAAAGTCTGTGTAAACTCAGCTATGCTTACGTTTTTGTTTGGATGGTGTGGATCAGTTTGCATAATGAGAAATTTGATAGTGACCATTTTAGACATTAATGAAGCAATCAAAGAGTGACTGGGTTATTTGTGTTTTAGATTCCCAAAAAAGTTTAAATTGTAATTTTTTTTCTGGAATTTGTAATATTGTCAGTGATCTTCATTTTTATTTTGATACATTGATACTGTGTTGGTATTATATTATATTGAAAAGTTTATTCCCCTACAACCTTGGAGTAAAGAAGAGAAATACTAAAATATCTGAAACTTAAATACCATCAGCTTCTTTTTCATTTGTTGAAGGTAATATCAGTATGTATTTATAATTGTATTAAAAAATATTTTTGTTTCAGTGACAAGATGTTTCCTGCCTTAGGATTTGGAGCTAGGATACCACCAACATGGCAAGTGTCTCATGAATTTGCATTGAATTTCAACATGAATAATCCATTTTGTGCAGGTCAGTTTGTACAAAACTACATACAAATTTAAACAATAATAAGAATATGATGTTTGGGATGGGGTGTATGCTTGAAATCTAATTCAAAATAATTTAGCTGAAAGTAATAGTAAAAAACTTGTAACCTTGTATCTAAGGAGTAGATATATATATATATATATATATATTTAGTCCTCAATATGTTTCACTTCAATAGGAAAAAAACATAACATGTAATCAATATTTTAAACTTTTTTTAACATATGAAACAATGAGTTAGCAGTAACAAATTATTCGGCAGAAAATTCTTTTAAAAAGTTTCACAAATACAATTTTTTTTCAATTTTTGTAGATACTTCCAGGCCCTTTGCATCACTAATTTGTACAATCAATGTAGAAAACAATGTGGGAAGTAATTATTAATTGATTGTGTACTTTATTTATTAAAGCTAAATAAACGAGAAGCTTTGTAATTTTGTTATATATATTGTAAACTGTAACATCTGTTACATTGATTCATTTGTAGAATCAAACAGATTGTTCATTTTCTCAGAGAACATATTATTTAAGAAGTTTGAGTTTTTCTGTGAGCAATAACTATTTTTTTAAATAAACATGTGAATCAAAAATAAAGCTTTTCATTTTATGATTTCTTCCTTAAAAGAATTAACAAACTTCAGAAGTATATATTTTTTAGGTTTTGAAGTTCTTATATAGAGTAATATTTATGTATTAAGGCAATATAAAAGAAAGTAATAAACATAACACATGTACTTTTATATTTGTGTATTTGTCTAACCATATATTGAGTTTGATGAGAACATTGAGGCCCTACATATTTGCGTTATCAAGAAACAAGTCTGATTGTATTGTATACTTTTTTTGTGGTCCTTTACTAAAACATTCTGATCAAATATGAAGAAAACTGATGCCTCTTACCCATGAACTGATATTTTATGTCCATACCTTTTTGTACCTTTGTATTTTGAATGAAATATTTGAAAGTGAATAAATTAATTTACTGTGTTTTGTAAAATGGCTAGTTGGCAATAACTTATTTTTCATTAACAGGTGTGGAAGGTTTAGTAGAAGCTTACCGTAATTGTTTATCCCAGATACAGCTATATGGCCCAACAAATTTTGCTCCTGTTATCAACCATGTGGCTAAGTTTGCATGGCAAGCTCACCAACAGCCTGCTCCTGATGTAGGTTCAATATGTGTTTGTGTACCAGTGTTTGTAAATCAGTCAGAATGTTACTCACAGTATATTTAGATTATTAAAAACAATTGAAAAAAATATAGCTTCCAAAATGTTACTACTTCCACTCCACCATAGCTATCTCGACCTTCATTTGCTCTCTATGCATTGGTAAACTTTTGAAAAGCACACCAGTCTTTTATACCCCTATATTTTTTAGGTCATTGCAGCAACATGTGCTGATCATGTGGCCACCCTCCACCAATTCCATTGTGCCCTCTATACTAGCACAGGTAGCTCCCTCTACCCTTGCGGCATAATCCTCACTTTCTCGATTGGCACTCTCATGTATAGATGTGTGTTTTACGTTCTTCATGTGACTGCACAATTTTTGATTGTGCTTGATTACCAATAATATCAGTTTTGAGTTCAAGTTTCTACTTGTTTGTTTTTGATATGTTTTTATTTCCCAGATTCTACTTTGTTCATATTAATCGGGTTTCTTATAGCAGTTGATAATTTTCCCACCATAAGTAAACAGTGGTTATAACACTAGGCCTCAGTCTCAGGTTTCATGATGTTTGCTGAGGAAGTAGACTTTTGTTCACAGGGAGTTCATATCTTACGTTCGGCTGGTTATTTTTCCTTGGACACACATGCATTCCCTTTATTGGATACTTCTCGACCAGTGGAAATTCCCTCACGATCCCTTGGACCATCCCATTTTTCTTGATTCCCCTGTGTTTTTGGGTCGGTGGTCAGTTGAGGAGGCTGCTCTCCATATCCACATCCTAGTAACTTGGCAGTTCATTAGGCTCTGTATCCTTTCCTGCAGGAGAGAATAGTTTTGGCTCTTTCTACATTCCACTATCATCAGCTTTATCACCTAGAAATGGAGAACCACATCCCAGTCTCTGTCTGGTCAGACTCTGGATTTTGTATATTGGGACAATGACTGACATGACTATTCTGACAGATCATGTTCCCTGAGTTCTGATTCCTGTGCCCAATTTCTCAGCAGGGAACACTGCATATTTGTATGTGTTTCCCATTCATTGGAATGCCACACTTTCTTCTTTTTAGTCTTCAGTTCCTCACCCTTCAGCTGTGGAGATAGGTGCTTTCAGTTAAGATTGGAGGGGTCTTCACCTATATGCCTACCCTCTGATTTGACTCATCTTCTGGGTCTTTTCCCTTATCCAGGCCAAACCTTGTTGTGCTCTGCTTGTTCTTCTGTATTGGCCACTCAGATGTGGTTCCCTCTGCTCTCTGGAGGAACACACCTTATCCTTTTCTATGTCCTGTCCACACCTCAGTCATCCCAGATCTAACATTTTTCTATCCAGACATCTCCACACTCCTTCTTTCGGAGTGACTTTTGTCTGGTCACATGTCTCAGCTCAGGGGCTTACCCCTATATGCCTACCCTCCTTTCAGATTCCTCCTCTTCTGGGTGTTTTCTCCAATCTAGACCACCTCTTTCTTGTGTTCTGTTGGTTGCCGGATTGGCCGGCTCTGACATAGTTCCCTCTGCTCTGGCTCTTCACAGAGCAACAGACTCTGCCCCTTTCTCTGTCCTGTTCACTCCTCTGTCCACCGCGATTGGTCATTTTTCATCCCAACATCACCTTACTCTATCTTTCTGTGTGTCTTTTGTCCAGTCCATGCCTCAGGTTCAGGGACTCACCCCTCATGTTGCATCTTTCATTGCCTACACCTTTCATCCTTCCTCTTTGTTTATGTACCAGAGGCATTAGTCTTGCTTCAATCTTCAGTCTTTTTCCAGGACTTCTGTCCCTCCTTTACTTCTGTTCCTCACCTGTCCCACCTCTTCATCTGATTGTTTGTTTAGGGTTTGTCTAATTTAGTTGTTCTTTATAGAGCTGCCCTGTCAAACTTCCTCTTCCAGAAACTTTCTCTTCCCTGGGTTGTTCCACTTTTTTCATCATGTTTCTTTTGTCCTCCCAGATTGGAATCTCCATATTGTTCTTCCTATCTTGTCTGGTTCTCCTTTTGAACCCATTGCAATTTGTTCCTCGTAAGATCTCTCCCACCTGGCATGCAGTTTTCATCATTCCCATTTTTATTACATCCATTACCATTTCTTGTATGTTTTTCGTTATCTGGATCCAGCATTCCTTCTTTGGACTTTGGCTGTCTGGGTAGGTTGTTTTACCTTTTTTCCTCTTTCTTTCCCTTCATTTTCCCTCCCGTATTCCCATTCTTTTCTGGATCATCTCCTTTGGCGAGTTTGTTTTCTACTCTGTTGTTTGGCTCGTATTGTCTCCTTTTGTTGTTCTCATTCCTGTCTCATTGTTCCATGGCATTCCTGTTTCCTTGGATCTTTCTACTATTACACTCAAGGGTTGGGTTTGTCAACTCTTACACCTGCCATATTTGGATGTGTCCCTGGCTGATCATCATCTACGTATTGTTTCTTCACACCTAATTCGTCATCTAACTCCATCTTTAGCGGCTTGACTCCACTGTCATTTGGAGGGGATCATTCAGGCTGGTATGTGGACAACTCACTAAACTTTCACCACTCCCTGCACAACTTTGCTGTATCTTCCTCAACAGATATCATCTTCACCTAAGAGTAAAAGTGTACCACTTTCAGTTTTTTGCCATTTGAAATAAAAATGGCTGATTTAGAGCAGCAAGAGTATGGGGTGAAAGAATGTGCAGATACATAAGAATTGGTTAGGCCACACAAAACTAGATTAGCAGTTTCTAGCTTAAGTTTTCAAATAAATCATATGTGTGGACGGTTATTATTCTTTGCCAATTTTAAAGCACAAACTAGCTAAATCTTATAAAGTTCTCCTAATTAAAGATCGTTTAGCATCACATAATATTAGTTTAAGCAATTAGCATAAATAATGATGATGCTTGATACAGTTGTACTAAGTGCATGTAGGTGATGAAAATAAACTTTTTATCTAGTTTCCATGGTGTTACTATAAAGGATGCTATTAACACTGTTTTAGAAAGGAAAAACAATCACCATATACTTTAAAGAATCTAGTTGGTTATGTAAAGTATAGGTCTGTTCCAAATAACAGGGTTGCAATCCTGAAGCTAATGTTGGTTACAATTGTGTGTCACTTTCTTACTTGCTGTGTTGACAAAAGGTCATGATATCTAATCAAAAAACACCTTAGGCGTGAAAAAAAAGGTTTGACCAAAAAAACATTGAGTTTGTTACTTAAAAGGAATGAAATCACAATTGTCTGCCAAACTGGTAAGCTACAGTTATAGCATTTATAAGAATTTTACAGCCAATATTCATTCATTAGTTAGCTTGCCGTGTATTTTGTTTTACTCACCATCAATTCCTAAGTTGAACAAAAAATGCGGGCTGGCTAACTAGTGAATGAATATTTGCTGTAAAGTTCTTATCAATGCTATAAATGTAGTTACCAGTTTGTCTGACAGTTTGATTTCATTCCTTTAAGTTGCACGTTCATTTTTTTTGTTTTTTCACGTGTAAGGTGTTTTTAATTAGATTTATCATATACAAATCACACATACACATGAGTGCATACAACAACTTTAGGAAATGCATATTTTTGTTAATGAAAATAGTTTGTATCGATATACCATATTTTATTTATATTAGATGTATATTTCGTTTCACAAAATATTGTACAGTTAGGCCAACAATGATAATAATTCATGCTCTGCATCATTTTAGTCTGAATTAATATCTGAAGTAAAACAGTTTAACATAGACTTTGAAACAATAAAATATTTTACAGCATTTTCTGTTAAATGAGAGGGTGGTTTTCGTGCAGACCACACTTGGCCTGTTCATGTATGGTTCTAGCCACGTATTCTATTTGTTTCAGCCCTACATGTCTTATCATCTTTACTGTGTGAAGAGCATACCTGTTCCAGAAGTAGTGCTTTACTGCACAGGTGTGTCTCGTATTTTAATTATGGCACACCTTTTTTTATTGTGGTTGCTCTCTGCTTGATTATTTGTTTTTGCACCTTGACCGGCCCCTCCACCTTTCCAATGTGGGATTCTAGGTATGGGGGAAGAGGAGGAATTAGAGTTTTGGAAGTTAACATTTTTTAACACTCAAAATGTATTTCTGATAGGTTACTTACCTCCTCTCACCCACTTCACATCCTTCCTCCCCACTGATTTGCCGTTTTTTTCAGGTTTGTATATGCCAATTGTTGAAAGTGAGGAATGTGCCACCAGGGTAGAGGGAGCTATCTGCGCTAGTATAGAAGGTGCAATGTGATTGGTGGAGGTAAAGTATGTATTGGAAATACATTTTCAGTGTTAGAAAATGTTAACTTTCGAAAGAACTTTTTGTCCTAACAATTTTTATTAGATTATAACTCCTACTTCTTCAAGCTTCACTTTGGCAAATAGCTGCATTTGATCATGCTGTTGTACATATCCTAGGCCTAAATATTAAGTACCCAACTATACAACAGGAGGTAATTTATGATGAGTTGGAAGCCACTTCTATTTTTTAACCTCTCTGTTAAAAGTTTGGCTCTGTTATTCCTGTAGAGTTTGTATGAACTTGAAAGCACTGAATGTGTTACATATATATGTATAAATGTTTTAGGCAAGTTTGTTCAATTGTCAGAAATATGTAAGTAGCTTAAAAACCCTGAAGTCAAGATTTATATAAATAATGTTGTTTTTTTTACAGTTAAAAAAGTATTTTCATTACTATATATATAATATTTTAACTTCATGGAATTACCTCAAGTATCATTTTAAAATTATTGTATTATTCATAAATTTTGTTTCTTTTTCTAGGCTGAAAGTTTTTTACTTTTTGATGGCATTTCAGGATATCTTAGTTCTTTAGTTAAATTATTATATTTCCTAAAGTAATGTGTGCAACAAATGCAGTTAAAATTTTCATTTAGAACTTAGACCAACTGTACCATATTCTAGGTATTTTATGTTTATTAGGCTCCGCAGTGGCAGGACAGTATGTCTGCAGACTTACAATGCTAGAAACCAGGTTTCATTACCCGTGCTGGACAGAACACAGATAGCCCATTGTGTAGCTTTGTGATTTATTACAAAAAAGAAAAAAAATTTGTTGATTAGTCTGAAGACTGCAATTTTGGGTTTCACTTCTGTATTCCCCATACAACATACACTCAACAATTTTGTAAGGTTGCTTAGTGTATATTTGATATAGGTATAAATGTGTTTGGCTACCAGTTAAACCACATTGTATATTAAAATAAGGGAAACAATATATTCCCTCATTAGTACAAATTTTCCTGTCATTAGGGTATGCATGAATTGAAAATAAATTAAATTTTGTAGATGTCACAAAGTTAACTTTTTGGAAAGTACCACATGTGAAACTGACAACTAGGTAATACATTCTTATCAGCAACTTGAAAATTTCATTGCAAGTATATTGAAAGAAATAGCAATGTATCTTTTAATGTGAAAACCACTACTTTATACTAAAATCAAAACCTCAGTGGTGCATTCATTTCTTACTTCAAACACTGACACCACAACATAGAATCAAAACACTGTTTTCCGTGTAACAAATATACCGCATAGTAAGTATTGTTCACAGTCTGCCATGTGCATCATAAAATAACATGATTTATGAAGATTTGAATTGTTCACTGGAAGGTCTGCTTCAAATAACTCTATGCTGTTTGTAGTGCATGTACATTGATGGATGCTTTAAGTAAAATTAAAACCTAAAGCTAATAACATCTGAGGTTGAAGCCCCCAAAAAAATTACAAATTATATTAATGGGTAAGAAATGGTTTGATGAGAGGTACTCATCATTTTGAGGAGAATAAAAGTCAGAATATTTTGATCTGTGCTTATGCAATTATCAGTGTATGTATATATATTGGAACTATTGTAATAACTCAAAAATATCTGTACAAAAAAACTGTCTTGACTGACACCTTAGATGCTTTGAAGACTTGGTGTTTCTTTGGATATAATAACGAGACATGACAAGTGAACTGATTGAACTATTCCTAAACAAGCATTTCACTATAATCAGATGTACTTCTTATCATAAGAAAGGGTAATTTTTTGTAGCCTTGAATTAAATAGATTTTTCTTTTTAACAGAATTACTTTGTGCTTCTACTCTTGACTGATGGTGTTGTAACAGACATGGATGAAACAAGAAGGGCCATTGTGTATGCTTCTCAGTTGCCAATGTCCATCATAATTGTTGGGGTAGGACAAGCAGATTTTTCAGCAATGAATTTTCTTGATGGGGATGATGGAGCTTTGAGATCGCCAGAAGGTCAACCAGTAGCTCGAGACATAGTTCAGTTTGTACCTTTTTACAGATTTGAAAAGGTTAGAACAAGTAAATTTTATTTCTAAACTGGCATTCAAAAATAAAAATTGAAAAGTTAAAATAAGATTAATAACCTTTGTTCAAAATTAATTATTATGATCAAGGAGTTTGTGATTAGTGAATTTTTTAAAAGGTAATTGGTATATTTATAAAAGTATAGCCATTTTCTAATGGGCCATTTATTCTAGAAGATTGTCCTGGAGATTTTATAAAACTTAATATTAGTAGGTAAGAATGTTTTACATCTTAGTGTTATAGCATTCTGTATATGAATATGTATTTACTGTTTTGTTTACTCTTTCTACAAAACTTAGATGTGAATGATAATTTAAAATTGACTTGTTTTTATATGCAGGGCCCGTATAGTTTACTTGCAAAGGAAGTTTTAGCAGAAATACCTCAGCAACTTGTTCAGTACTACAAAATGAGAGGTATACCTCCAAAACTACAAATCACTTGAAATGTGCACAAATATTTGTTAGTAATTATTAATATTTGAAGTGTGAAAGTGTCAGTATTTTTTCCATTATTTGTTTGTGCTAAGAAGTAAAGCTGTTTTATTTACATAAGTGCAATATATATTTGAAAAATGCATTCTTTTCAAAAATGTAATACATATACATGAAATATTAATTTTTTTCAAAACTTAATTTACATCAATGGAACGAATTATGTTAATATTTCAGCATTTTGAGTTATTATACTCAGCCATAATTTTTGAATTCATATGTGTTTCTACCTGTACACTCAACAGTTTTTATATTAAAAGAAAATAAATAAAAATAAATAAAAAGAGATCCAGGATTGCATACAAGTGTGGGGAAATCCTTTGGTTGACTGTGATTATTTTTCATACATTTAATATGTATATTATTGATTTTTACCATATGATTACATTTACCACAGTTGAATTTTTTATTACAAAGATTTTAAAGATGGTAAGAATTTTTGTAGTTTTTGTTTTTGACCAGTTAAGAAACCAGTTTTGCATTAAAGATACTATATTAATACAAGCTACATGTTACAGTTCAGTTATATTGAAAAGTGTGCTGGAATAATACTTGAGAAATTGTTTTAGTTAAGTTATAAAAATGCAGATTTGAAAATGATGTTTATAAAAAATAAAGTTCTTATCATTCAAATAATCTCAAAATTTTTAATCAAAGGATAGTTTTTATTCTTGATTTCCCTTTATTATGTTTATTTCTGCAGTTTTGTTGATTTAGAACACTATATTCTATTAATTCCATGTTTGTTGTAATTAAAATCTCTCAAACTACAGGAAGGATTTGTAGTTTGGTGACTGGCTGAGAATGAGTTGTAATTTTCATGGGCTAATGAATATTATAAAATAACTAGTAGCTATTATACTTGTCTTCTTGGTTATCAAGTTTACGAAAATTTATGATAGTCCAAAAAAGTAATTAATTTAATTTCTTATATTATGTACAGCAAAATGTAAATACTATAATTGACAAAATCAACAATAATTGGTAGTTTTAGTTTTTAGAAAAATATGTTCTAATCAAACTTAGTTTATGGGACCAAGTATCAGTTCAAAACATTTTAACTTTTTCACCTTAGAGAACTATTAAATGCTTTTCTAGGACCTCTTGAGTTGGTTAGCTGTTATATCCAACAATTTGTGCAGTATCTTCTAAATGAAGTCAGTATTTCCAGAGAAAATATAAATTAATGTGACATTAACCTAACAACTGTTGTTCATTAGAATCCATCTTTTTTTATTCCATGTATTCAAAGCATGGAAATATTTTTAGCATGTTTCTAGTATTATTATTAGCAACATTTATTTATATATATATATATATATGTGTGTGTGTGTGTGTGTGTATATATTTTTTTTTTTTACTCCTGAGAAAATATCAATCCGTGAAGAATTTA